GATATATATATATATATATATATATGTATATATATATGTGTATCTATATATATCTATATATATGTATATATATATATGTATATATATATATATATGTATATATATATATATATATATATATATATATATATATATATATATATATATATATATATATATATATATATATATATATATATATATATATATATATATATATATATATATATATATATATATATATATATAATGAGCATAATTTAGATCAGAATCAGAAAAAATCCATTAAGACAAAACAAATTCACGAAACTGGTAAAAGCTCTCCTTATACCTTGACGGCCCAGATGGACTGTTCCAGTGGATGAAAAAGCTTAAAGCAGAAGCCATCCTTCTTGGACGGCCTCTCGATGAGCTCACAGGCGTTCAGCAGGACCGTCCCAACCCACTGTCCGTTCTTATTGGTCTTGTAGATGAGCAGGACGCCAGGCTTCAGCACGCACCACAGCTTTGTCCAGCTCTTCAGCGTGCCACGGATCTGGAAAATAAACCACAACACTTTCTTACAGTAAAGACCTGCAGTACTTCATCACTTCATTAATGCATCACTGTGAGAATTAACATCAGCTCTTTAATCCTGCACACAGCAAAATGAAGAGCGCTGTTCACTTTTTAATCCTTTTGGTTTTACTGAAGAAAAGACACAGTAAAAGTATCAGCTAATAGTTTTTAGCACACTTCCACAGTCGACTGATTGTATTAAGAATCGCATTGCATTTGATTGTGGTAGTAATAGTAGCAGTAGACGTTGTTGTATTAGTTGTAGCAAACGCTATAGTAGTATCAGTAGTGGTAGTCGTTGTAGTAGTATCAGTATTAGTAGATATTGTAGTGGTAATAGTCATGGTTGTGGCTGTAGTAGAAGCAGTAGTAGTTGTAATATAAGTAACTTTCTGTAGTAGTAGTTGGTGTAGCACTTGTGATTTATTAGGGGCCAAGCACCGTAGGTGCGTAGGCACTTATTGGATCCGTTAGCGTTCCTATTATTATTATTATTCTTCCTTCTTCTTCCGTTTCTTCCGCCAGATTTGAATGGCAGCCCATATAGGTGTATGCTGGAAAGTTGTATAATTTGGCACAATGATAGAGGACAGTATTAACATTAATCAGACCAAATATGAAGTCTCAAAATCAAACTTTCTAGCGCCACCACTTGTCCAAACCAAGTGTGCCGCAAGCCTACGTTTGAGTGAAGGTTTCGGCCGTTAGATCGCCCCCTGGGGGCTGGCTGCAGTACAAGTCATAAAGCCCGCCCCCTCCGTGTTAATGAAGGAGACTTGAGCCCAAATAAAAAAAAATATTACACTTGCAATAAAATGTCCCGAAAGATAGTTCTGGTCGATTAAGGCACTGGTTATTGTGCTGAAATAGGTGCAGATCTTCATTTTTGTAAACAGTTTGTTTTTAGCAGTAATTTAATGCTGGGCGTGTCATCGTGATTGACAGCTGTGATTGACAGTTTCTCAAAGCGCGGCGTTTGAGCTTCGGCAGGAGACTGAAGTAGACTGAAATGTTATTATTCGATTTCTGTGTTATTTTACCATGACAAAATGAGTTCAGCAGTAAACTATAGTTTCTGACATACATGATCCTGGTGGAACACTGTTTATTCGCTAAGTTCAGGGCTTTTTTCGGGCTTTATTAGTTTGCTGATACACGCCTAGCCACCCAGATAGCAAAACACAGTTCCGGCTAGATTCTCGCCTGCCGGAGACTTATCTCTTAGAGCTCAGACTGACTAATGTTACCTCTGCTGGACCTACTCCGGATGCCTGGACTCACTGCCCAATTCCTGCCCGAGTCAATCGAGCCAGATGCGGCGGCCAAGCGAGCAGGCGCTGCCGCATGCGAGCCGGAATCAGCCCGCGACGCCGCGAGTAAGTTATGCGCTGCAGTCCGGAGCTGGCGCGATTGAATATATAAAACCCTCATATTTGTTAACGTTATTACATCCATTTGTGTTGATATGACAGCAAACGCATGCTGAGAAGTTCGGGGGGCGTAGTTGATTTTACATAAAGCGTTTGATTGGAAGCTCGACTCTGCTCATTTTCGCGGCTCCTCCTCTGGCTCCATCAGACAGTCCTTCTGCGCATGTCTGGCTCCAATTTCAGCAGTCTTTTGCGACAGTTTGTGCCCGTCAAGCAGGCGTTTTGCCCTCAAGGCGTTCAATGGGAAAAAGGGCTGTCGCGTCGTCCATATTTTTTACAGTCATTGGTCCAAACGTTCATGTATGTTTATCATCATAACTTTTGAACCGAATGGGCTACAATCAAAATTCCATCAAATTTTTTTTCCTCTGATTCCTTGGCTCAGTCCGATTCAAACGTATCCTATGACGTCATTTTCCATCATGAATTTTTTTGTGTTATTTTAAATTTTTCGAAAAACCTATTTGTTCGAACTCGTCCTAGGCCGTTGCTCCGATTTTCACCAAAATTGAATCACATGATCTACAGACCATGCCAACCAAAACTTATGGAATTTAAGTTGATTTGACCAACCGTTTTCGTTTAACTTGTGATCAAATTTAACGCAAGACTTGCGAAAATGGACTTGAGATGATATCTCCGTAACGCATTCACCGATTCACACCAAACTTGGTGTGTGTTATGACAACTAGGGTCTGAGGTTATATGCGGAGTTTCAACGCAATGCCCCCTAGTGGTACGGAGACACAAAAAAACTTGCATTTTTGCTTATAACGTCTCAACCTTTCGTCCGAAACTCGTAAAACTGGTCTTATTACATTCGGCAGAGCATGTCGAGTTGAATGATGTCTGATTTTCACAGATCAGCCATTTTGGCCGTTGCCCATTTGGATTTTTGCCCAAAAATGCTATATTTTACCAACATATTCACATTTCATTACAAAACATGGTATGCATCTTTAACCCCATGCCCTGAAAGAACTCAAAAACTTCAGGAGCAGCCAAAAGTGCACAATACTTGAGCAACCAGTGCCAAAAGTGCTTGGCCCCTTAATTGCTGCTTGCAGCTATATTTATTATTATTATTGTCAGTTATCATTACTCTTGTCCTTTCTTTCTTTTTACTTTCATTTTTACTATCATACATTAATAAGCATTGTTGTTACTCCCTACCTCTGACTGATTTCTTTCTATATGTTTTATTTATATCTGTGACACTTGCTTCATTTATTGACTGTTATTGTTCCTTATGTATGTACTCTGACCTGTCCACCAACTTACCTTTACATGCATACACACACACACACACTCACACACGCACACTCACGCACGCACATACCAGTACCTGACTATACTGTTGTTGTTTTTGTTTTGTTTTTGTTTTGTTGCTTTGTATTTGTTATTTGTTGATGTTTTCTTGTATTTGTATGATTTTTGCATATTCTAATTAAAAAAAAAATAATAATAAATAAATAAGAATCACATTGCATGTGCATTACAAGCTTTTTAAATGTTGTATTTAAATATTCAAATGAGGCATTATCTTATCAGATATCTTCTAATGCGCTGACATTTCTGGTTTCCTTTTTGACATCTTAGAGTATATATATATATATGGACGCATTACTTGGCAGAAGCAACGAAGAATGAGAGCATTTTGAGAGCATTTATGTGAAACGTGCATTATAAAACATGCATTATTAAAATGCTCAATGCTCAATCACTCAAGGCAAACCGCAGACCTGTGTTTTCTGCATCCAATAAGCATGCCTAAAAGCTCCAGAATAAATGGTCCTTCAGTAAACAGCACAAACCTTGAGCCAGTCGGCCATAACAATGACGGAGGGGTCAGTGATGGTGCTGAGCAGCTCTTTAGTGGCCCGTTTCTTCTCCTCCCTGTAGTTCTTCTTCTGCACCTAAACAAACACGCATGCACAAACACTAGTAAACAATTACTATTACGTGCACAGTATTTATTAATGCATGCTCTGAATGAGTGCTGTTGTACCTTCAGTGACTCCTTCTTGGTAAGTTTGTTTCCAGACACAGACACGTCTTTATCTGAGCCATTATAGAGCTTGGTTTCTGACTGCAAAAGCAGAAAACATGCATTAGGCAACCTGCACAGACACAAGCTCTGGTGGTTATGACCCATTGGGTTGTATTAGGAGTGCAGGATGTTTGTGGCATCTTCTCTTGAGTAACTCCTGCAGCTCGGCCTCCTGTTGCTCTCTGAGCTGCGCTCGACTATGTATAATTAATAAACACTGCTGGAGGACCAGACGATTCCTGACCCCAGAGGATCATGGGTTGAGAGTGAAGGAGAGAGAGTGTGTGTTTACCTTGCTCTTGGATATGGAGTGTGTGGAGTCTTCTTTCAGAGGCAGGATTTCCTCTTTGCCACGGTCAAAACCTGAAAAAACAACATTGGGATTTAGTTTGATCTGCTTCATGTTTACTCTGTTTGGTTCTGCGTTGCGTGTTATATCTGATCCCAGACCTGCACTTAAAGGTCACTGCTTTGATTAAGAGAATTCGAGTTTACACACACACACACACACACACACACACACACACACACACACACACACACACACACACACACACACACACACACACACACACACATACACTATAGCACTCAAACACACCACAAAAAGTGGGCCTTTAGCTCCTTTGGATCCTAATTTAACGTCAGGAAAGTTAAAAAAAAAGACTTATTGTCTTTATTTCACCCCAATATGACTGTGGACACACTATACCTACACACAGTTCTGTCTAAACAAGATGATTTTCATCATAGGTGCCGTTTTAAATGAATTAATCATTGAATAATTTGTAAAAAGTTAGATTTCTAGAGTTTTTTGTTTTATATATATATATATATATATATATATATATATATATATATATATATATATATATATATATAGTATAAAACTTGATTTTAACTTTAATTAAAAATAAATAAAAATCAGAAATATGACCTTTTTACCCCAAATCTGTATTTTACATGCCATTTGAGTTAACACTTATTTTTCTAAGCAACAAATCTTATGTTGTAAGTTGAAGTAAACAATAACAACCATGGCACGTAATGGTGAAGGACAGCGAACGTGTCCCACATCTGAAGCCTCAGGATAGTTTAACACTTCATCATTAGCAAACAAACTATAAGTGTTTCATCAGACAAGGACGGTCCATCAATCTGTCAAGGCTAGTTCGTTTCTCAGACATCCACAGCACAAGTGTCACTATAAATCACATCTCTCCTCCGCGCGCTCATTGTTTGGGCTTTGTTGGACTGGAGCGGAGGAAAAAAAAGCTGACATGTTATGATTGAAGACCCCATAAAACAACATGTTTTCCATCTAAACTGTACAACAACGTACTCAGCTTTGTGTGCCTGAGGCTGTGAATTAAAGCTAAAAATATTGTAAATATTGTAAAATTATTGATTTTGTGCCATTGATTTGTACTTTATGAACCACCAAAGACAACAGTTTCAGCTAAAACTCTTTAATTATCTACTAAAGAAAACAAAGCATCTCTCTCTGTATTGAATATCCCCTTTTACTAACTTTATAATCTTCCCCAGCATCTGCATCTAGATGAACAGAGAGCAAAGACGAACACCTGATGTTTTCTAAAGCGCATTGTACATGTAAATGACGACCCATCGATCATGTCCATTGTCTCTCTTATTTCCTCAATGAGCCGAACAAAGCATTGTGTTCGTCTGAGAAAAACACACCACTTCATGAGCCCTTCAATATGTTAATGATGGTGAGGAAAAATCCACACGTCCTTAACATGATGAGGACATCAGCGTAACTCGGCTATTAGCATATTCGTGCATAAATCTGCATTGATCAATCTTCCTATTTAAGAACTAAAAGAAATTACTACAATACTAAACATTTTTGCCAATGATAATAAAAATGCATCAACAAATTATGCATAGAAATATGGGGAGACTTGATTATAATAATTGTTGTGCTCAGAGTAAGTGGGTGGAGCTAAACATATCTTCTCTTGCTTTGCTTGTTGGAATTCTCTGATTTATCTTGCATCCTGGGTAATGTAGTTTTTCTTCATGAACCCTTCAATTAACTGACTGTTTACACCATTGTTTAACAACACAACATGTATTTCTTTAAGGGTTTATCAGTTATTGAGAACATCAGTGTAACTCTGCTATTAGCATATTCATGCATAAATCTGCATTAATCAATCTTGTTTAAGTACAAAAAGAAAAGACTACAATGCTATGATTTTTTTGTTAATGATATTCAATCAAGTTTATTGCAAAATATGCAGAGGAATACGACTTGATTTTGTATTTGGTGTGCTCCAAAGAAGTAAGTGGAGCTAAATATCTCGTCTCGTTGGAATTCTCTGATTGGTGGAATTATCTGGTATCATGGGTAATGTAGTTTTTCTTCATGAATCCCCCCAGTTACATGAGTGTTTACACCATTGTTTAACAACACAACATGTAGTTCTTTTAGGGTTTATCAGTTATTGAGAACAAAAGCGTAACTCTGCTATTAGCATATTCGTGCATAAATCTGCATTGATCAATCTTCCTATTTAAGAACTAAAAGAAAGGACTACAACACTAAGATTTTTAATGCAAATGATAATAAAAATGCTTCAACAAATTATGCATAGAAATATGGAGAGACTTGATGATATTAATTGTTGAGCTCAGAGTAAGTGGGCGGAGCTAAACATCTATATTCTTGCTGTAATTGAATTCTCTGATTAGTGGAATTATCTGGCATCATGGGTAATGTAGTTTTTCAGCATGAATCCCCCAAATGAGTTGAATTAATGTGAACGAATCAGTTTAAAAAAGCATGCATCATTGA